TATCTGAAAAGAAAGAGGCTTCCCATGATATTAACAGAAATAAATACAATGTAGGATAGTGTGTCATTTACAACAAAAACGTTTACCGACATGTCAGTCCAGATCACGTGGTTGGCGCTCAAACCACAATCTGATTGGCTAGTTATGACATAACTACAATTAGTAATGGAAATAACTAACACGACCTTTTCCAAGTGAGTTCTGGGCACCTAACATCCCTAATAATTTGACCCATAACAGTTGGATGATATTGATGCTAATGAAATCTACATCCTACTTATCTTAGGACAACAAATCCCGTTCGTAACAACTTGGTTAAACAACGTTGAACTCAAAAGTATTCAAAGAACATATATATTTTTGAGAAATTCAGTAATTTAGAAGAACGAGGAGGAAAAGACAAATAATATATGTAAATCGAAATTAGACCAACAATTGCAAACGTTGACAGAAAGTAATTATAGTGATCAATACAAGAAATGCTTTTAATTTATGTAAATACTTTGCAATATCAAACAATAAATAAATTTGCTTTACATGATAAGCTTGAAATTTGTTAGAAATAAACTGCTTACTGAATATTATAATAAGTAGTATAAACGAATACATGAAAAACAATTGGAATGAAACGAAAATATTAGATAGAAAACATACATGAACTAACAACAACAATGATTATAATTTGCTTCAATTAAAAAGATACAATTATTTTATGATTTATAGATAAAATTCATTATATATTTTAATCATTTTCAGAATTTATGAATTGTAAATATAATCAGTTCTGTAGCTAATATCAAAATATCAATCTTTGTATGTGATGTGCTTGAAACGATTACGAGTTCACATTACTCGTTTAAAACGGAGCGAAGATCAACGATGCAGTAACACGATAGGCTATTCTAGTCTGATTGTTCCAGGCCCTACTAACTAGAGGAAGAAGTCTTGATGAGACGTAGAGAGAATGTATTCTACATGTACCCAAAAATTACTAAGTCCACACGTACACTACTCAAGCTTATTTATACAATGATAAAACGCCCTTGGTGAGAGCCACAAAGTAGCGTACTAAAATTATCCATCAATCAATGAAAGTCAAGGATTTCTCAAGTGGGAAATGCAAGCTGGAGGTCAAAACGAGCGTCTTTGACCCAAAAACATGAAAATTCAAAATTTCAGCATAAAATTACAAAATTTGGACCTTTGCAAGTGAGTTCTGGGGATCTAACCTCCCCAACATCATGGTAATATAGGTTACTCATTTTGACTCTATAGACTATAGACTATATAGACTATATAGATCTTTTAATTTTATCACCATTCGTTCTAATCATTTTCAGTCATTACAATTGAAAATTATTCATTAGATATCGAGATTTATCAAGGTTCCATTTCTCGTTAGTTCTAACTTTTAGTTTGAATTATTAAATACTAGCATTATGAAAAATAATTTAATTGTTCAATCTTTAATCCAAAACGGACTAGGATGAATTAGTTTAACGTTGACTATATACATTAGCTGTGTAGATGGAGATAATTTTCATCAATCATTTTTGTACTTAAAGATTCATTTCATTGAGTTTCCTATGGTTTATCTCTAAAAAATATCTCATTTAGGAATTGTTTTTCTCTGTCCAGAAAAAATATAATTGATCAATATCGAGTCGTTATACTTTTATTAATTTTTCAAGTTTGAGCTGATTCAAATGTATGTGAATTATCAATATGTGTGTGGGGATACTCAAAGTTTCGATCTTGTCATGTTTAGGACATGAATACTAAGTACACACCCTAATCTTTTAGTCTTTTTCCTATTCCTACTCACTTTAAAAACAGTAGTTTATAAAAATAGATAAAAATATAGATCAACAAAGTGATTGTTCTTTCTATTTATATCTAATTTAAACGTTATCTGAATTCACAAAAATCAGAATACCATGCAACTCAGTATAGTCTTACTTAACCGAGTTTGTTTTTCAAATGGATGGTTTTTTAAAGTATAAATGAGTTTATCATCTAAAGTATCTTAAGACTGAATAAATATTTGACTGATAACTATAAAATAAATTGGTGATTTAAGTTACATAAGTTGAATTAGAAACCAGATAAGAAGATGAAATTCTTGTCCCATCAAGAACCAAGAGTAACAGCATTGCGCCATACAAACTAATCTAAATGAAAATGTTATTAGTCAATAACGATCAGAATAATTTATTAAAATATTTTATTAGGAGAAATTTGCAGTTCACAAAACTCGATTTCAACGATGTTTATCTTCTCTCCATTGAAGGTAGGCAGTTTAGAAGAAAATTAATCAGTAAAAAATTTTACTTCTCTCTGTATTTTGTACTTCATCATATTGAGAAACAATGCAAGAGATAAGTTGTATAAATTAAGCACTCGTTTAATAATTCCAATGAATCAAAAAAGTATTTTCTACATTGTATGCTCACTAGATATTAGTTTAACAATGAAATCCTGATTTCAACTTTATGATATCCGAAATGGGTCTACAGAAATAAACAGAGTGACTATGGAATGTGTTATATTTCCAGCTGTCTCATATGTATTCCATTTCCCATAAAGAATCGACTGGACCATGACTTGGACTTGATACATGTAAATGACACATTTGTCATTGATAAAAAAACTCTCTTAAGTCTTTTCCAACCTGATAATAAAGTTCTCAGATAACATTAAAATCATTTTCAGAAATGAGGATGACCTTGCAGAAAGTATTACGTTTTGATTGTTTAGTTTAAATGAATTAAAATGGAAGTCTAAATCTAGCCATCTGCCACAAACTAACACACTGGATTCAAATCAGCAGGTAGAAGTGTAGTTTTCGAACTTCTCCACGTATGACTCGTAGATTGTCCTACTGACATCGATTTTGATTGATTATAAGTGACCTTTAACCTAACGTTGTCTGGTCCTTTATTTTGATTGTATCCCTCTTCGATCTGTCTGTTTCTTGATCCTATGTTTGTGTACTATTTTTCTGACTGCTTGGTAATTTGGGTCAATGTCGATGTGTTTGTTGATTGCTGATTAATCTGAGTGCCAAGCTTCTAGAAATTTCCTAATGTTTTTCGCACTCCTCCTATCCAGTATTTCCACACTGTCCCAATCAAATGTATGTCCATAGTTGTCCGAATATATTAATATAAGGGAAGAAATGTCATGGCAGTTGACAGCTGACTGATGTTCATGCAAACGAAGTTGAAGAGAACGTTCACTTTGTTCTATGTAGTGTTTTTGACAGTTTGAGCAATTTATTTTGTAAATGATATTTGGATCTTCTTCTTTTGTCATCTTGTCCTTTGGTTAACATAGGATTAATTGAAGCGATTCTGTTGGTTTGTGTGCTACAACTATTTCAAATGGTTTCAGTAGCCATGCTGTAATTTCCTATAAATCTTTTATGTGTGGTAGGATGAAATCAAGCACAGGAACCAATGAAACTCCAACACAATCATCCAGCTGAGCTAAAAATTTTCTCTACCAGCTCAAAATCTATTTGGCTCTAAATATGAAAAGAAGTAAAATGAACAAACAAATATCAATAAATTCTTACAATTTACTAACTTTTCCATGAATATTTTCGGGCAGAGTTTTGGAGGTTTATGTTTTTACATATTTGAAATTATCAATCAGTCAATGTTAGACCACCATTAGAAACCTGGAAGCACTGGACGGCTGTTTCATCCTGGTATAGGACTCATCAGTGGCAGTGCGCATCCACGACTCCTGCATCTGTAAGGATTCAAACACTGGACCTTCGATATTGTGCGCGAACGCCTAACTATCGGACCATGAATAGTATAAAAATTTGTTGAACAATAATAAATTGAATGAATTATTATAAGTTGGAACTATAATTCTACAATATCGTTATGGAAGAGAATGGAAAAACTATTAAGAATCCTTAAATCGAAAAAAATTTGAAACTTCATATAAGCAATTAATACCTTTCGAAACATTTGGGTTCAGATAAACGATAAAGTTCCCCGTCACCTTAACACAGAACTGTGCTTACAAAATAAGAATGTGAAGATTGTGATAAATTTTATATTGAAGTGTCTTTTCGTGAAATCATGATTCATATCGAAGAACAGTGAAGCTACAAGAAAATACTTTCAAATAATTCTTTAGAATTAGAAAGCTTACAAATTCAATCCATGTTAACAGTGCACACCATTTCGAACAACCATCAAAACAGTATCAAAAATATCACAATAATTCAAAAATGTTCTTTCGAATTGTAAAGAAAGGAGAGCCACTGAAGCATTATGTATATTGCAAAGACCTTCCAAGTTTTATGTTGGGGATGTTAGATCCCCAAAATTCGCTTGATAAATGCCTTATTTTGGTTTTCACGTTTGTCAACATGGGCTGATCAGTTAACCTTGAGATTTCATATCCATGGCTGTGATTGGCTGTTGTGTATTTTAGTGTGCTATTTTTGTGACTGTCCCAAAGACGTTTCTATGGTGTATAAATAAACGAGAGTTGTATGCTTGATTGTACTGTGATTGCTGGGTGTTTGTAGAATATACATTCTACGCTTACAAAGCCTTTTTATTTCAGCCTCGGATTCAAGGTAGCCTATCTGGACGCTGGTAATTGTCTCCTTCGCGTTTATCGACTAAGGTAAACTCGTAATAGCCTCAAGCATATTTAGTGACGAGCGTTACATTTTACAAAAGGGAAAGTCTAAAAAAATCATCTAACATGGACTGTTTATTTTATCTCATCCATAGATCAGATCAGCAAAAACATAAAAAATATTTTTAATTCTACTTTTCCACATTATAAATATCACATTTCCTAACCTTTGACAGAAACGAATTTTGATTGATAGTTCACGGAGAATTTCTTTCGGTATTTAAGCTTAGGCCAGTTTAATTCTGTTATTATTTATTCTACGAAGAAATTGCTTACATTCAGTTATGAAATGTATTGCCAAAGAATTGCCAAAATATCCCATTATTTTTTAGTTAAAATTGTCAAGATTAATGATGATGATTATTTCAAATTATCTTTTGTCAATGTTACAATTTATCATTTATTCAGAGTTCTGTTACTATTGTTATTCAGAGAAATAGGAGAGAAATATTCGTTCCCTGAAAAATATAATAAGTGTACAGCAGTAACAAAGAAAGTTAATCCATAGTAGTAGCATTTAGTTTAGACAAGAGATTGTTCTTAATTGTAGTCAGATTTCAATGCAGTAGTTTACAATCAAAGCATAAGCATAAGCATAAAATGAAGTCCCTGAGTTTTGTTTTCAGTAGATGCTTACTGAGAAGTTTCATATTCGCACAAAAAAAATGACTGCTTGTCAATACATGATTTTTGAAACTTTTTTATATTACTTAATCTAGACTGATTAATCGTTTTGATAAATTTGAAAAATGTAATCAGAAGACGGAAATTTTCAGAACTATGTGATATTTCAGGTCAGTAATTCTTCTTATCCTACGTGGTTTTCTATCTTCATTCATCTTCATACATATGTATGGCCGCATACATATGTAAATTGTTAAATGTAGTAGGATGTGAATCAATCGTTTACATATCATAACGATTTTTGGAACTGGCTTGTCCACATGGATTTCTAAAAATCGGTCGTTTGAATGAATCATCTTCGCTGTTACTCATAAGTATTTTTACAAAAGGTAGCTCATCAATCCTCTTTTCATCACATGAAACATTGGTGTAGTTTTGAAGTGTTAAATTTATTCAATAAACAATTTATAACCTTCTTTTCATTACAAATAACTATAATGTCATCATCCGCTTATCCGCTGATGAAGTGGCCTATTTTCGATTAGATCTTCAGACAGAATTTCAATATTAGCCGTATAGTAGAAAATGAGATATGTGATTAAAATGAGGGAATGGATGCATTCGATGACTCCTTTATGGAAAAGTAGTTTAGGCATCACAACCAATGCACCATGTTGACCAATCACGACGGTTGAAGTGGTTGATTGTCACTATTGAAAAAAATCTACTCATAATGAGTAATTTATGAATAATTTCAATCTGAATGCATGTTAAAGAGAAGTATGTTGAAATATTGCACAAAAATTGCTGAGAATTCATCACTGTAACAAGTTGATAGTGTTGAATAAAGCAGTTATGGTTAGATAGAGATTTGCATTACGGGTTTGTGAAGATTGTTAAGTTACACATTTTCGAAACCATGAATCGATCAATGTTAGACCTGGAAGCACTGGACGGCCGTTTCGTCATGGTATGGGACTCTTAAAAAATGTGTAATTTAACAATCTTCACAACCCCGTAATATAAATTACCTGTGCTCACTAGTGACTAGCTTCGTGAGGAATCTTCTCCGAGTTCTAGTAGGAAGATGTGACCAGTGAAGTTCGGATGTAGACAGTAACTACCGAAGACTGTGTATGAGGTTGCGCAACTCCGTGAATAGATCAAGTTAGACATTAACACCGTCCGATACCGGCTCAGTGGTCCGATGGTTAGGCGTTCGCCTACAATACTGAAGGTCCTGGGTTCAAATCCTGCGGGGTGCAGGGGTCGTGGATGCGCACTGCTAAGGAGTCCCATACCAGGATGAAACGGCCATCCAGTGCTTCCAAGTTCCTAATGGTGGTCTAACATTGATCGATTCATGATTTCAAAAATTTATGTAGATTATCCACAAACTTCATTTACCATTCAATCCATAAGGTCACAAACAATATCACCATGTATTACGAAACTCATTGAGAATTCACTGTAGAAAATGCAGATAAATAACTGGTAAACGTGTGAAGAAAAGAATCATGAAAATCCACTCATTTCATCCTCAACTTCTTATTCACATTTATCTTAACTCTCCTTGGTGAAATAAGTCATTCTGTGCTGTGTTTTATAGAATTTCATTCTAATGCATGTCTGAACAAAGTAGAAAATATTTCGGTAACACACACTCACATACCGCCTAAAATTAATAACTCAATCAATCAGCATTCACAGTTGTATTTCATATGACTGATTTCGAAAAAGAATGTATTTGATTGATATTCGATCGGTTTTTTCATTATTTCAGTCGGCAAAAATACCAACAACAATGCTAGTTGATAGAACACAATTCCGTCAAGAATAAAAATCACACGAGTGATGAAATGTCCCTCCTTGCTGATGGTTTGTCAGTTTGTCATACTGATAAGAATGTTTTGTTTTAATAATGGGTATCGATGGAGTGTTTTTTTTTCTAATGTTCTGTTCATATCGTTGTATACTGTGTTATGTGTTTATGGTGAATGACAATTGATGTTGAAAATCTAACAATTAAATTAGTTAAAAATCACTTTTTGTGAGTATTTACAAATTTCATTGAGTGTATTTTCACTAAATGGATTGAATATAAGGTCAGTCAGTCAGTTACAACGTAGACCTGCTTACGTCCGTATATAAGTTCAGTGTGCCAAACCACATTAGCACGGAGATGCAATTTCCATTTCCGATCCCATTGTATTAGAGATAGCAGAAGCATTAGCGGTAATGTAGAAGATTAGGGTTCCAACATATGATTCAAGAAGTAGAATACAGTGAAGTAGATTTGAGGAGAGGAAATTTAAAGGCGATGAGGAATCCAGAAGATTAGGATTTGAGAGAACACAAAGAGTGGCTGCACCTTCGACATTGCAAACAATTTTGAGCCATGTGGTTTGAAGGTCTCTAACAACTGATTATTATCATCTCACGATCCTCAACCAGTTAATCCTGATCTACTGACACGACTCAGTCCACTTGTCACTGGCTTCATAGATTTGTGTCATGTTTTTGGTTTGGTTGACCCAAGCTTCGTTCCAACCTACTCCTACACCACAAAACATAGCTTGTCGGAATCCAAGGACTAATACTGATCCAACATAAGTTCTGTTACCTCCCATGGTTGAACAATTCATATATAGATATGCATATTTACCATTCATTCGTCACGCCTGATAGGAAAATCAAATGACCAAATATGATTAAGAAGCTGTGATTGGGAAACCAAATCAAGTGAACACAAATCATAGGTATATATGTATACTAATTCTGCTGATATAGATACTTTGATTAGATATACAAAAACCTCGATACTTTAACGTGTTTTTTTCATCATAATCTATTTATAGGTTGTCCTTGAGACTGAAAATGGACATAGACACGTGATATATTTAGACCCGCCCAATTGAATATTGTCTTATTTTTTATATTCAGTATATTCCTCTAATTATTTTGGTGTATATTGCTCTATATTTTTATGTAATATATGAGGATTCAGTCAGTAAGCTCGCCTTTGTTCTAAATTGTTCTATTGTAGCTAAATTACTTTTCATAACTTTTGAAAGAATATACTGAGCATGTTGGAGTGCATTATCGATTATACTGGATGTAATTAATAAGCTGCATTATTGGGTTACATATTATTGTGATGCTTACTCTATGATGAAAGTGATCTAACTAATAGTCCAGTGAACGTCTCATATACTGTTTCATTAATTTTGGTCAAGAGTTTTGAAGAAGCATATGTTATCTTAAGAACATATTCAAATGATTAGCCAATCGAGACATACACATGTTGATTGGTGTTCATCAGACATACTCACTAGACATGTATTGTCAATGCTATGGATTATAAGAAATGTTATTAAAGTTGGAGTTAGTATTTTAGGATTTAATTTGTCCTACAGATGTAATTCTAGAACGGTAAACGCAATATTGGCGAGCACAGAGTCTATGGTAAAGCTATAGTAAGAATAAGGTCAACTTGGTTTCTAAACTTCAACTTGTTTCTAAATATAAAAACAAATAAATTAGTACAATAAATAAGGAAATTACAATTATCAAGTAGGATGAGCAAACATACCAACCAATATAGCGTGTCTTTAGAAATGAATAAAACCATGAGTCACATCGATATAATAAGATAACAATGACATTTGATTACTAGGTCATTTACTACAAAAAAGGTTTACAGACACGTCAAATCAGATCAGGTGATGGGCGCTTAAACCACAATCTGATTGGTTAGTTATGACATAACTAGAAGTAGTTATGAAAATAACTAACAAGTATTCCTACACAAATTTTGTGATATTATTTTTTATTTAAAATGTGGTGTGAGCTACTTATAAGTAGTATATAACGTGAGTGTCAACGTAATGTCTGGTAGCATAATATGGGGGGAAGATCAAGAAAGGAAGAGTTAGAAAACAATGGAATTTGTATGAAACGCATGAATAGTAGTGACAATGGATTGATGTTTTGCAACAGGAACAGCCCAGTTCGATATGATAAACTGATATTTTGCAAATGAACGATTTACGATATGGTTTTCCTATTTTACTGAGTAACTCTGTAATTTCGTTTAATATAATTTGGTTGCCCCACCTGTGTTCTCCTTCACTACAAAAATAGTTAATCTCTTTGATAAATTTAAATAATGTTTTGATAATCTTCACCTTTTCATTACACTATGCAAATTACTATTTTTAATTGTCTCCATGTTCTGTGACTAGCTGACATTTTGATTTCACCTAGTCATGCTAAATTTATGTGTCTTTGACATGCATTGCTTGAAAGACTAGAAAAAAAGGTGAGTCGAGTAACATTGGTAATGACTGACATTTTTAGATACTTTTCGAACGTTGAGAAATGTACTACTACTTTGATAAACACCATGTAACAATTGTCAGACTCCCTGATATTTCTAGAAATATGAAAAAATAAAAACTAATCAAAGGTATAAATTACCTATCAATTGATATCTGCATGAAAGAAATGCGTTACTTTTCATCAGATTGAATAAGGTCACATGAGAAAAAATTCCGACAGAAATCAAGTTATATCATATATGATGTTATGTTATGTTATGTCGGTTTAAAAAAAGTGTTATTTCATGTTACAAAACTACTAAATTTAAAAAATTATGACTTTCAGGTAAACACGAATATTAGCTACTCATTTTAAATGTTTATTTTCAATTAGAGCTGTAGAGATTTGTGTTTTTACACATTTGAAATCATCAATCAATCATTGTTAGATCACCATTAGAAACCTGGAAGCACTGAAACACGGCCGTTTCGTCCTGGTATGTGACTCATCAGCAGTGCACATCCACCACTCCTACACCTCTCAGGTTTCGAACCCGAGGATTCA